TTTTAGCCAAGTAACCTAAAATTTTTTTCAACCTTTATAACAATTCCATAAATGAAAAAAAGTTTTTAAAAACCGTAAAAAAACTTTCAATTAAAAGGTAATTATAAAATAAAATCCCTTGGAGAAAATTTTGGGCAAAGGGGGGAATAATAACCCCCCAAACATAATTTAATTTAAATTTTTTTAAAAATATCATTTTTTAATAATATATATTTAAAATTTGTAAAATTGGATTTTTTAAAAAAATCTTTTTAATAACAAAAAATTTTTATTAATAATTTTCGAAAAAAAATTAAATAACAAAAAACATATTTCATTTAGTTTTCAAAATTTTCAAAGTTTAAATATATTTTTTCATTAGGGAAAATTAAAAAGGTTTTTAACAAGGTTAGGTAAATTTTCCCAAAATTCTTTTTACAAAATTATTAATTTTTACATTAATATAAAAAAAAAAATGTTTTTTAACGTAAAAAAAAGGGAAAAAAATTTTGAAAGGATTATTTATAATAATAATTTTAAATTTTTTAAAAAAAAATAATATAAATATATTATATAAATATATATATAATATTTTTAATTTTAATTATATATATAATATATATATATATTATATTTTAAAATATATATATAAATATATATATATATATATTATATAAATATATATATATATATATATATATTATATATATATGTCGTGCCGAATATGTAAAAATGGTCAATTAGCAAGAACTCATTTAAAATTAAGTCCTTTCAAAAATTTTCTCTTATACGTTTAAAGATATATTTTTTCATTAATGTTGATGTAAAAAATGTTAATTTTGCACCAAAAGGAACTTAGAAAACTTACCTAACCTTATTATAGCAAGAACAATTTATTTTAGCCTAACCCAACTAAATATATTTTAGATTTGTTTACAATAATTTAATACTAAACAAACACAGTGAAATATATTTTTTTTCGTTAGGATCAGAATAATTTTGGCGAAATTATTGCATACGCAAATTTTCACTTGTCCTATATGGCAGATGAACGTTGCTATTTAAGCCAAGATCGCAAGTTCTGCCTATTCGGCACGACATATATATATATATATATATATATATATATATATATATATATATATATATATATATATATTATATATATATATATTTACATATATAATATATATATATATATATATATATATATATATATATATATATATATAATATATATAATATAGTACACGGCTGTATATTGGGTGTGGTTATAATTTAACACAATACACTGCGTGACTTGATCAGGGCTTCTTACACCACATTTTCACGACCACTGACACGACCTTCCTAGGAGGATCACGCAGGTATAATCAGATCAGAGGTACGACACCGATATCTTGTAGACTAAGACACGTGTGCAACACCTGGCTATCTTGATTATGTGATACATTTCTCCTGCACAGCAAGTTATGTCACTCTTGATGGTCTGATGTGCGGGCGAAACGTCTCTTGAATATAGCTACCCAGGTGTTGAAGAATTAGACAAATGTGCAACCTCTTTACTTGTAGACGTTTATCCATCCAGTGGCTTTATCAATACAAATTCAAGGACACGAGGGAAAGACAGTAGAACTATATAGAGAAGACGGGATAATCAGTCCCTCAGCCTTGTTGTATACACGTGCTGGAGTTTTGAGACTCTATGACCGCGGGTTCAATCCCGGCCGGGGGTATGGCTTGACGTGTTGAGTTACCAACACTTACATACCACAGTGCCAACACATTACGTTAAGGTGGCCCGGTGGCTAAAGCTCTCGCTTCACACACGGAGGGCCCGGGTTCGATTCCCGGCGGGTGGAAACATTTCGACACGTTTCCTTACACCTGTTGTCCTGTTCACCTAGCAGCAAATAGGTACCTGGGTGTTAGTCGACTGGTGTGGGTCGCATCCTGGGGGACAAGATTAAGGACCCCAATGGAAATAAGTTAGACAGTCCTCGATGACGCACTGACTTTCTTGGGTTATCCTGGGTGGCTAACCCTCCGGGGTTAAAAATCCGAACGAAATCCTATCCTATCCTACTACAGCAAAGGTAATATTTACGTGAATTAGTCTACGTACACTGGTGTTCCCTTACTCCATACCTGTAAACAAGACACTGGCAGACTACCTTACGCTTGAACGTGTATCTGGACTCTCAATACTTTCGGACAAAGGGTTGGATCTCTTGTACCATAGTGGTAGTTGTAGTATTATGTGGTGATCAGGTATCCATCTTGTGGTCTTAACAAGACCACACTTCTCCTGCAAGTGGTCGTTAAAAGGCGATAAAGAATGCCAATTGCATGGTTGGTGACGTGACAGTGATCAGTGATGTCGGTGGAACAACACTTATATAGTGTGAGGAGAGAGTTTGTATAGTGTGAGGAGAGTTTGTATAGTGTGAGGAGAGTTTGTATAGTGTGAGGAGAGTTTGTATAGTGTGAGGAGTTTGTATAATGTGAGGAGAGTTTGTATAGTGTGAGGAGAGAGTTATATAGTGGGAGGAGAAAGTTTGTATAGTGTGAGGAGAGAGTTATATAGTGGGAGGAGAGTTTGTATAGTGTGAGGAGAGTTTGTATAGTGTGAGGAGAGTTTGTATAGTGTGAGGAGAGTTTGTATAGTGTGAGGAGAGAGTTATATAGTGGGAGGAGAGAGTTTGTATAGTGTGAGGAGAGTTTGTATAGTGTGAGGAGAGAGTTATATAGTGTGAGGAGAGAGTTATATAGTGTGAGGAGAGAGTTATATAGTGGGAGGAGAGAGTTATATAGTGGGAGGAGAGAGTTATATAGTGTGAGGAAAAGTCGTGTATAAGGGTGAAGTGAGAGGTTATTAATGGTAAGTTTTAGGCGCGGATGTTCATCTTGAGAGAAGTGAACTTGCAACACAACAAAGCAGTGGTAAAGTGAACTTGCAACACAACAAAGCAGTGGTAAAGTGAACTTGCAACACAACAAACCAGTGGTAAAGTGAACTTGCAACACAACAAACCAGTGGTAAAGTGAACTTGCAACACAACAAACCAGTGGTAAACATCTTCATTTCTTCACTTAAGGTTGATCTCCAGCAGCAACATTATCAGTGTCAGAAGTAATAAAAAAAAATTGCACTGACCTTTATAATTTAAAGAACTTTGGAAATCTTCATATCAAAATCCTTGATATATTTTTTGTTTCATTTTTTTTGGGGGGGAAAGAGGCAAATAAACTATTCACTTTTTTACAGGCATTTTGGCGACTCGAACTGGAGTGTGTTCAATGACGGTCCACCGCTCTACCACTGCGCCAGTACCACCCTCACAGCATAAATAAAAACATAAGAATGGAGGAACACTGCAGCAGGCCTACTGGCCCATACAAGGCAGGTCCTTATCAATACCACCCATGTATTTGTACCTTTCCCCAAATCTACCCATGAATTTGCCTCCGTACCCACGACACTAATGAAACCCAGCCCCTCTAACCGGTTACATACTGCAGCTATTGCAGGCTTGCAGAGACAGCTGGAGGTTTCTGCATGCCTGCAGTAGGTACAGTATGAGGCGAGCTGGAGAGTATGCTACGACATAGGTGCTGGCTCACTGGTAGTGAGGTGGACGATCAGTGAACACACACCAGCTCGAATCCCCGGAAAACCTGTTTGCATATTTGAATATAAAGAACATAAAGGCACAATACCGTGACTGGAACAATACACAAATAACCAGCACATAGGAGACTGAAACTCATGACGATGTTTCGGTCCCACTTGGATCAGTAAATAGTCACACACTGACACGCGAAGGTAATGGAAGCAGTATGTATACGATATACGTATACTAGTTCCCTTACCTTCGTGTTATTGTGTGACCAGTTATGGTCCTAGCGGAACCGAAACTTCGTCAGGAGTTCCTTTCTCCTATGTGCTGGTTATTTGTGTACTGTTGAATGTTGATAAATTAGACACATAAGCAACTACATTCACTGTTGATTGTAGTTGCTTATTATAAGCCGAGATGTTATTCCTAGTGACGTAGTATTGTGTTTATATATGTTAGCAGTGGTTGTGTTGTGTTTATATATGTTAGCAGTGGTTGTGTTGTGTTTATATATGTTAGCAGTGGTTGTGTTGTGTTTATATATGTTAGCAGTGGTTGTGTTGTGTTTATATATGTTAGCAGTGGTTGTGTTGTGTTTATATATGTTAGCAGTGGTTGTGTTGTGTTTATATATGTTAGCAGTGGTTGTATTGTGTTTATATATGTTAGCAGTGGTTGTGTTGTGTTTATATATGTTAGCAGTGGTTGTGTTGTGTGGTAGTCAGTTTGTCCTTCAGAGAGAATCAGCACCTTGAACTACCATCTTGTAACGTGTGTCAGACGCAAGTCAAGAGTAGCAGCGCCTAGCGCATCTTTTATACTTTTAGTCAAGGCGCTGGAAATGCTCCCTGCGCTGACTCACTTGGGTTTAGCGTTTCATATAATACTATGGTTTTACAGCACTTCAGAACAGTTAAGGTTACCTGTATATGTGCGCTAAGCCCGTAGGGATAGTACAATGTTTTATGAGGTAATGAGATTTGGTCAGATGAAGGTGAGACTGAGACTGAATTCCTCAGACCTGAGGGAAACGCTAAAACCGTAGGAGTCACACAACACCTGTAAATTGGGAGGCCATCACGCTCACTTCATGGAACAGGACAGGTCCATTCCTTAGCATCAAGAACCCTTCACCAACATCAAGGAACCGTCCTTGAGCGCCCTCTAGCCCACTTCTCCATCACAGCCTAGTTAATCTGGGCCAAGTACCACCACAAGTGCTAGATCAACCAGGCTATGACAGACAGTAGTCCAGTGGTTCACTAGCAGCAACAGCCTGGTTAACCAGGCAATTCTGGCTGTGGGAGTAAGGAAACTCTCGATACCCATCAAAGGTAAATTCGCCTCACTGGCACTGAGGGTTGTAGACGCATCACTGTGTAGGTTAAGTAAGAGTGTGTATCAGAAAGATCGATTTATTACCAAAACAACAACATGGGTGTTGGTCCCACGTCTGAGTTACCCGTCTGCTACATAAACTGTACATACATATATACAACATATATTTACACAAGCACCATCGAAGTATAAAAAATTCGAGGAATTGTACAGGAGTCTTTGGCACCTGAGTGCTGCAGGAAGTGTGCCCATGTTAGGCCTAGCACCACACTAGGCCTCCATGATATCACCACAACAATGACACAATATCACGATGTGCTGCGTTACAAACATACCATCAACACGGAATGACGATGAGAATGTACACATGAGGATGACTGAGGAAAACTTGCTAACCAGGGACCGCTGATGTGATGACTGACTGAGGGCGACCCACCGGCCGGCGCTGCAGGTGCTCCCTCAAAGGTTAGCGGGCACCTGGTGGGGTATGGCGTAGCTGTAGGGGTGGATGGGCGCTGGTCTTGATGGCGTCGCTGACAGGGAAGAGTGGTGACCGGGGGGAGAGCGCAGGTAAGTGGGATAGCCGTACATATCTCTGGCAGCAGCGGCAGCCTTGTCGAGGGGAGCAGGGTGTAGCTGCGGCGCTCGGCTCAGCAAGTAAGGAGACATCATGTGACTGTAATAGAGGTACGGGTAGGGTAAGGAACCGCCGGGTAAGCCTGCAGGAATGCTGCCATGCAGCCCCGTTGAATACGTAGGTGAGGGCAAGCATGGTCGTATGGCTGCAGGGGAGAGCATGTTGACCTCGTGAGCTCGAGGATCTGCAAGGATGGTGGGCGGCGTGTGTGACTTCCTGGTTTCTGCCACCGCCGCTGCCATCATGGAGGCGGCGGACATGAGCGGTGACACTAGGGACGTGGGTGTCTCCTCCACTTCGGACTTGATAATGAGTGGAGGCGGCAGGAAGGGAGGGGGTGGGGTAGGAGGACTCTCCACGTCCACCTTCTCGTCACTCGGGTCTTTTTCTACCGACATAGACGACGCTGGCCGGTCTTCAATGTCCGACACATCCAGGTCACCGCTGTCCACACTGTTCAGACGAGCTCGTTTGTCCAGGGTTGCTGGTGGAAAAGAATTGAAATATTATAAATCAAAACGGACGAAATTGCATTATTAATCTAAATAAACTGTATTTTTAGCATTTATAAATGATTTGCTATTATTGAAATACATGAACATTATCGTTTCAGAAGAGTGTAAGAGCATACGTAGTGTAAATATATATTGTTGACATTAGTCTCCAAGTAAAATGAAGCCTTAATCTACATAGAAGATAAGTTTTAAACCAAACAAATTAATTAACTACGTTTTCAGACAAATATACATATTTACTTCAATCTAAGAGAATATTTACTATAAACTAGTAATAAACGAATTTAGCAGTATAATAGGGTGATGAAGATTCGACCTGTCATGTGAGATTACCGGTTCATCGCGTTAATCACTCTGTGTGTCGAATCCCGTTCACTCTACTTAATTCTTATAGTACATAATTTTAAGCAGCTTACCGTCGTCAGCTTCGCTAGATTTTTCTGGCGGTGCAGCAGTCATTTCGCCCGTCTGTGGAGACGTTCCTCCCGCTCTCTTTTTGGAGCGCAGCTGCCCATTTTCCCGGAAACCTTTCGCGAAGGGATTATTGTCGATCTTGAGTTGAGTGATGCGCTCGTTCTGGTAGGCCGTGACGGCCATGAAGCACGTCTGGGGGAAGTTAAAGGTGTTGAAGGGTGCCCAATGGAGCGAAACCAGGTCTGGCGCCGCTACAATGTGAATCCTGGGTTGATACTTATGCATGGAGTTGAGGATGATGTGTCCCTGTTGGTCCAAGTTGTTGTTGGTGAGTTTGAGCTTCTGGAAACTGATGGGATGTCGCATCCACTGGGCTCCAGAGGCCGGGGAGTCCGGATGTATGTAGAGTCGACCGGGCATGTGAGGTTCAGCCTTGCCAGCCACCACCCACTCCTTGCCTTGGAACTTGTAACGAGAGTCGTCCGCCGGCACGATGTCCATCAGCACGTAGTATTTGGTGTTGGGTTCCAGACCGCTGGCCGACATCTTTACCGTCGGGAACATGCGCCTGCAACAAGGGAAACATAATTATTTAGCATAAAATACTAAATATACCTTTATACGCCAGGGACAAGGAAAGAACTTATTTAGGCTAAAATAACACATATTGGTCCATGAGTCTGAAATAAGAGAAAAACAACAGAAAATGACAACAACAAAGCGAAGAACTTTCCCCCCCCCCAAAAAAAAAAAAATATATAAATAAATACTGCTGTATGCAATAAGATAACAAGGCACGTGTAATATTTTAATATACAATATAATCACAGTGGATAGGAGTAGTATTCCAAGCGTTTTCACCATTTCTCATATTATCAAGTATGCTCCTAAAACAAAGACAAAAAACTCATTTAGACCCCCAAAAATTATTCGTTCATGCACCAGCAACAATACACAATTGAAGACGATAAAGCTCTACAAAAAAAAGCGAAACGTTCTCCTTTCAACGTTTCTGCTTCATCTTCATCATCACCAACAGTACGTCATCCAGATCCAGCTAGAAATTCATTATGAAAAAATGTCTCTTGGGAGTAACTTATTTAGGACAAAATAACAGATATTCCTTCAGACACTTACTAGTGCCAAGACAAATATTGTGAGAGGTTGTAGAGCGAGACAAAGATAAAACAGAGAATGTGTGTGTGTGAGGTGCCGCACCTCGGCCGCCCACCTGTGACAAACACTTGAGTCTTGTTGTGTTGGTCAGCTAAAGTGACTCAAACATTTGTGCTCAAACATTGAAACTCAGAGACACTGCCCCGAGCAGCCGGACGGACAGACAGACACACACACACACACACACACACACACACACACACACACACACACACACACACACACACACACACACACACTACACACACACACACACAAACAACCTACACTTCTCACTTTACCTACACGCTATCACGTTACTTTCATCGCCTTCCCCCTTTCTCCGTTTCTTTCTTTTGCTCTTTATTTTTATTCTACTCCTACAGCTCTTCCTCCCCAGCCACCTTGGCCGGACGTACATGTTAAGCGCATATTTTCAAAAAACAATAACAACAGCTGATGTAGTTAACAACTTCTAGCTTGTGAATAAAGTGAAAAATCTTAACCTAACCTTGTAAAATCCTGTGTTAAAGAGGGTGAGAAAGAGAGAGAGAGAGAGAGAGAGAGAGAGAGAGAGAGAGAGAGAGAGAGAGAGAGAGAGAGAGAGAGAGAGAGAGAGAGAGAGAGAAGCAGAGAGAGAGAGAGAGAGAGAGAGAGAGAGATTAAATAACAGTTGTCAGAGGTAACCTTGTGATCCCCGGGGGTGAGGCAGGTGTGTGTTTAAGGGAAGCTGAACGCAGCCTCGAGGTGTTCCAACACTTTAAGAAACAGTTTATCAGTGCACTACTAATGCTGCTCTCCCGTCCTCTCTTTAGTTCCTCTGAAAACGGTCGCGCACACGCTGGAGAGCGCTCAAGTTATTCCCTTGTTATTTCCTATCAGATTGCTTTACGCACGCGCGCGCGCACGCCGTCTCCCTCCACAAGGCAAAATAAAACACATTAATCATCATTCATTCAAGCGCCGCCTTGCCAGAAGTGTGCTGATATCACAGTTGTTAATACTCTTGGTAGTAATACCAGGCTTGTTAATACTCCCGGTAATAATATCTGGCTTGTTAATACCCTCAGTAATAATACTTGGCTTGTTTAATACCCTCAGCTGTAATACCTGGCTTAACAATTTCATTAGTAATACCTGGCTTAACAATTTCATTAGTAATACCTGGCTTGTTAATACTCATTTGCCATGAAAATACAAGCACATATCAACACAAAAGCAAGGAGCTCATAGATTAATCTGACCAGTTCGGCTCAGCGCTCACTCAAGAGCTTCACCTCAGCGCTCACTCAAGAGCTTCACCTCAGCGCTCACTCAAGAGCTTCACCTCAGCGCTCACTCAGAGTTCCACCTCACTCTCGTTGACACAATGAGTCACATCATTATCCGGTTGGTCACGGTTATAGGATACGCTAATTGTTGTCTTAAATACACCGCTCTGAGCATGACTAGGATAAGATCAGGATGACTAGGAGATTAAGATGACTAGAATATGATAAGTATTAGGATACAATCAGGATGGCTAGGATAGGTTTAGAATGACTAGGATAAGACCGGGATTACTAGAATAATATCGAAATGGCTCTGATAGGATCAGGATGACATAAATACGACTGAGATGACTACCTGGAAGGTTATTCCTGGAGATAGGACTAAGATAGGATAAGTCTCAGCATCCTGACTTTTTTCTTAGTTTACTTGGTAAAAATTTCAACTTTGACCTCAACTTGCTAAGCGTTATATATATATATATATATATATATATATATATATATATATATATATATATATATATATATATATATATATATATAGATATTATATTTATATATACGTGTGTGTGTGTGTGTGTGTGTGTGTGTTATTGTGTTGGGTGATGTGTTGTGTTAGTTGTGTGTGTGTGTGTGTGTGTGTGTGTGTGTGTGTGTGTGTGTGTGTGTGTGTGTGTGTGTGTGTGTGTGTGTGTGTGTTTGTGTGTGTACAGGCTATGGAAGCAAAGATGGGTTCAGGGTATATGATTATTACGTTCGAAAACTGACGCAATACCTATATTTTGACATTCAGAGCTTGGGAGAGGTAATCAGAGCGCACGCGCGTAAGCACGCACGCGTACACACGTACACAAACACACACACACGTAGCTACTGGAATTCCACTCGAGCAAAGGCAAAGTTATTAAAATTGAGGAAGAGACAAAAAGACCGGAAACTAAGAGACTCGATAGAGGCTGCAGACCTCACTCAAAAGAGACCTAGGGGTGAGTACAGTGCCGAACACATCACTGGAAGCTCACATCAACTGGATAACCTCTGCAGACAATGCTCGTATTGCCAATCTGAGTGGCTTTCAGGAATCTCAGCAGAGTAAATCTAGGCTCTTTATATAACGTATGTTAACTCCATCTCCGTGTATGCATAACCAGCATGAAGCTCCTGCCTCATAAAGGACGTTAAGGAACTGGAGAAAGTGTAGAAGTATGCAACAAGACTTGTCCTAGAACTGATGGGAATGATCTATGAGGAAATACTACAGTATGGGAACGCGACGATATTAGAACATAAGAGGAACCAGGAGAGACACAATAACGAAATACAAAATACTCAGGACTTGAAAGGGTGGACAGGCAATGACTGAGAGGCAGGAAACAAGTAGCACTACACGGGGAATTAAAGACACAGATGGACTACAGGGATGTCAGGAAGTATTTCTTCAGTTTCGGAGTGGTCAGGAAGCGGAATAACTTCAACGAAGTAGTAGTGGAGGTAGGCCCATCACATAGTTTTAAGAACAGTTATGACAGTCTATAAGGCTAGGAGGTTAAGACGAAATAATCTCGACAATTCACAACGCGCACATAGACTAAGAGCTGAGGACTCGACACGGGGAGGTACAACTAGGCAGCTACACACAACACGTCAATGCCTACAGCAGCGCTGACAAATGATGATTTAACCGAGGTTAACCCTAAGCTGCTCACCAGTTTACATAACACTGGTTTATAATATGATTTTAATTTTAAACCAGAGACCAGAAAATGCCTAGCGTTCCAAAACGATATATCTTATTTTATTAATTATGAACGCCCTTCACTTATAATTATAAATGTGTAATAAGTTTAATTATATATATATATATATATTTTATATATATATATATATATATATATTATATATATATATATATATATCGTGCCGAATACGTAAAACTTGTGATTTTGGCTTAAATAGCAACGCTCTTCTTGCCGAATAAAGCAAGCGAAAATTTGTGTATGTAATAATTTCGCAAAAATCGTTCTGAACCTAACGAAAAAAAATTTCACTGTGTTTGTTTATTATTAAGTTATTGTAAACTCATCTAAAATATTGGATTAGGCTGAATTAAATTGTGCTTGTTATAATAAGGTTAGGTAAGTTTTCTAAGGTTCTTTTGGTACAAAATTATTAATTTTTACATTAACATAAGTGAAAAAAATCTTTAAACGTAGAAGATAAAATTTTAGAAAGGACTTAATTTGAAAGGGGTCTTGCTAAATGACCATTATATATATATATATATATATATTATATATATATATATATATTATATATAATATATATATATATATATATATATATATATATATATTATATATATTATATATATATATATATATATTATATCCATACATACATACATAATTTATGAACGCATTTTTGCCACCGATTCATGAATGACATCGACTGTGATAAATGTTTACTGTGCCGAATAATGTCTACTGTGGTTATTAACATGTTGTGGTTAGTAACATTTTCTATGGTTAATAACATCTGCTGTGGTTATTAACATCTGTGGTTAATCGCCACGCGCGCATAAATCGTGCGGCGGTTATCGTGGCGGTCACATTGGCGGCGGCCCAGCGGTCAAGGATATCAAAGAACAGTGTTATTATGACCAGCACGAGGCTACCACCTACCTCTAGGATTACATGGGAACCCACACAAGGATGGATAGGATTGCATGGGAACCCACACTAGGATGGCTAGGATTACATGGGAACCACACGAGTATCTCTAGCGTTACATCACATAAGGATCTCTAGGATTACATGGGAATGACACAAAAATATCTAGGATTACATGAGAATCACACGAGGATCTCTTGGATTACAAGGAACCCACACGAAGATCTGTAGGATTACAAGGAACCCACACGAAGATCTCTAGGATTACAAGGAACCCACACGAGGATCTCTAGGATTACAAGGAACTCACACGAGGATCTCTAAGATTACAAGGAACTCACACGAGGATCTCTAAGATTCCAAGGAACCCACACGAGGATCTCTAGGATTACAAGGAACCCACACGAGGATCTCTAGGATTACAAGGAACCCACACGAGGATCTCTAGGATTACAAGGAACCCACACGAGGATCTTTAGGATTACAAAGAACCCACACGAGGATCTCTAGGATTACAAGGAACCCACACGAGGATCTCTAGGATTACAAGGAACCCACACGAGGATCTCTAGGATTACAAGGAACCCACACGACGATCTCTAAGATTACAAGGAACCCACACGAGGATCTCTAAGATTACAAGGAACCCACACGAGGATCTCTTGGTTTACAAATGAACGCACATAAGGATAAGTCAAGTAAAATATACATATCAGCAGCCACTCAAGGTGTATCTGGAGATCAAAGCGGCGGAGTAAACTGAATCATGATCAGCGGTAACAGTGGCGGCGGTATGGTTGCCGATAACATCATGGACCGCCCGCTGGCGGTCACTCGGGAGTGGAATGTGCGGCATAGTTGTGGGTTACTGTCTGGCTATCGTGGGACTATAGCGGGCTATAACTACAGTTTGGGCTATAGATTGCCTATGGTGATGTTGTGTCTACTGACCGATTTTGTGGCAGATATGCGGAAGACATATCTAATCTACTGACTGATTTGTGGCAAATGTTACTAGTCTAGTAAATCTGTGGTAGATATACCTAATGTGTGGCAGATATACCTAGTCTACTCACTGATCCGCGGCAGATAACCTTAGATACACTGACTGATTTGTGGCAGATATTGCCTAATCAACATGACTGATTTGTAGCAGGCATTCTTAATTCTGGCCATGTTTACTAGGCTGTGAGTGGTGTTTACTAGGCTGTGAGTGGTGTTTACTAGGCTGTGAGTGGTGTTTACTAGGCTCTGAGTCCTAGGCCTTTGTGATTTATAATACATATAGAGTACTAGAATGTTTAATTTATTATTTTTATTATTATTCCTGGTTTTAACGTTTGCAATATATAGACTAAAGTCAAGGCTTTTCCATAAAATAAAGAAATTGTTTGTATCTCCTTGGAAAATAATAATAATAGTAATAATAATATAACAATAAAAATATAAAATAATTATTATTAATTATGTTAATATTATTATTATATTATTAATTATAATGTTATATATTTTATATATTATAATTAATAATAATTATATTATTAATTATAATATTAATATTATTAATTATATTAATAATTGTAATATTATTATTAATAATATTAATAGTAGTTTTATATATTAATCTTAATAATAATAATAATAATAATAATAATAATAATAATAATAATAATAATATTACTATTATTATTGTTGTGTTTCTATCAACTTAAGATAGCTAACTTAAGTGTACTCACCGGCCTAATTTAGTGATAATCATCTCTGTGCCGAACTTATTGAACTGGTTCCAGAGATTCTCATTCTCGAGGCGAGCCTTGATGCGAGGGTCAGGCTTCCCCCCTGGCAGCCCCGGGGTGGGGAAGCCTCCACACTGCGGCGGGGGCTTCAGGTAGTCCCCGGGGAACCCATGACCGAAGGGAGCCTGGGTGGGCACTCCGCCTGTGGGAATAACAAGAAAATTTCCGTCAGATTTGCTTTTGGGGGAGAGTTTGCGCAGTTGTTCAGTGCGGACGTCAGGTTGGTACAGATTTACTCTTTTTTTTTTTTTGAGGGAGAGAAGGTACGGAGAGTGAAAGGGTGAAATCGGTACCGGGAACCTACCGTGGAAGCCAAGCCGGTACTTGTCGAGGTGGTCGGTAAGATTGGCCGGCAAGCCAGCTCCGAGGTACGGGTGGAGGCCCAGCTGGCCCACCGGGGCCATGCCACGGCTGCGTAGGTATAAGAGCTCCTCCTCGTACATGGCTATACACTGCACTCGATCCTTCTATCACTTATTGCACTGCACTATACAAGAGTCGGCCGGAAGGGGAAGGGACGGGAGGGTTGGGTCACTTAACTACCTCATAGAAAGGTCGGCAGCACGTCTCATTCACGAGTGCTTGAAGGGAACTACCTTCATTTGTCGAGCTTTGTGGGTTTTGTATCTTCGGAAGCCACGCCTCTCCTCCGCCTCGACCAATCGCTAACTGGAAAGACGGACATCGGCGGGGTGTGATTGGTGGATCTCGCGGCTGGGGGGTGGGGCCACGAAGTCGCCCGCGACAATATTTGTTTTTCATCCCCAGGGGACCGACCCCCCCATCTCTCAGGTGTAGCCTATTACTGAATGAGAAAATGGCAGGTTTTATGTAGGTACGACCATTAAAAGTGAAGATGGCTCTGAGATAAAGGCTTGGGACAGGGCCACGAACACCCCTTCCACACTGTAATGTGGCTTGACCTCCACATTGAGTCAAGCAGGCACCCCACAAGGTGAGGTCAGGTCACCCCTGGCCTCCTTACCACTCCCACTCCACCAACTCCTGCACAAACATTCAAACAAAAGAATAAATGACCACGATCCGCATAATAATCGCCAAATGTCCGCCAAAGGCCATCTCGAACACGCGCCAATCTAGCCAGAATGGGATCACAAAATGACAGTTTGTTGAAAAGAGAGAGACGTTACTGAAGCCGCTGAAGCACCGTGACGTCACGCAGTGAAACCTGTCACCTGACTCCTTGATGCTGGTCAAGGGCTCTTGATCCAAGATACTGGAACTACCCTTCCTCTCACTGGATCAAACCTTATCACCTGTTAGTCAGGCGCTGCATGAGCCCTGCGGGTTTAGGGCTTCCCCATAATAATAATAATAATAATAATAATAATAATAATAATAATAATAATAATAATAATAACTCACGCACTCATTATTTTAATAATAATAATAATAATAATAATAATAATAATAATATATTATTATTATTATTATTATTATTATTATTATTATTATTATTATTATTATTATTTTATTCACATTCACAGAGAAACGCTAAACCAGCAGTAGCAGGACAGCGTTTGTGGAATAATCAGGTTTGCTCCGAGGAAGGGGAGAGGGATAACTCCAGCACCTGTGATCAAGAGACCACCACCAGCAAATAAGCCTACCAAGGACTGGTCTTGAATCAGTACCATCAAAGTGTAACAGCGCACAAAATGCGTGATAAAGGAATAACAGGAAAAGTGGATAGATGGATCTTCAACTTTGTAACCAACAGAACACAAGATTAGTGGTGACCAGAGGTAAGTCGGAGGCTGCCATAGTGGAAACCTCTGTTCCACTAGGCACAGTACTCGCCCCCATCCTTTTTCTTATCCTTATGTTTGACATAGACGAAGATGTAAATCGCTCTGCTGTGTCTTCCCTTGCTAACGATACTAGGATCTGCATGAGAGTGTCATCCATGGAGGACACTGTATATATTCAAGCGGATATATACCAAGTCTTCCAGTGGACCGCAGAAAACAATATGATGTTCAAATTCCAGTTACTCCGTTATAGATAACTGGAGGAAATAATAAGCTAGTACGGAATATACTACAAATTCTAACCACACAAAAGAACGGAAAGCTAATGTGAAGGACCTGGTTGTGATAACGACGGAGAATCTCACTTTCAATGGCCACAACAATGTCATTATCACAACTGCGAGGATAATACACAATAACTCGCACATAGGAGAAAGAAAAGCTTGTGAGGACGTTTCGGTCCTTTTGGAGCATTCACAACTTCCACGAGGAAAATGATAGGATGGATAATGAGAACCATTCAAAACAAGAGATGCTAAGCCAATGATGATCTTTTAATCGCTTGTTCTCTCTAGATTGAAATATTGCTGTACACTAACAACCCATTTCAAGGCAGGCGAAACTGCAGATCTGCAGAATGTACAGTGAACTTTCATTGCACATATAATTTCAGTCAAGCTCCTAAATTACTGGGAACGTTTGAAATCCCTTGACCTGTACTCCTTGGAAAGCAGGCGAGAAAGAGGCATCATAATTTACATCAGAAAATCCTAGAGGAACTGGTCCCAAATCTGCACACACAAATGACTCCCTACGAAAGCAAGAGTCTCAGCAGACAGTGCAATATACTCCCAAACAAATCAGGGATGCCAGAAGTATACCGAGAGACAACATAGTAAGTGTATGGGGCCCAAGACTATTCAACAGCCTACCATCATACATAAGGAGGATTACCAACAGATCTTTAGCTGTCTTCCAATAATATAAGATCTTTAGATCAGTTCCTGATCAGCCAGGCTGTGGTGTGTATATTGGGCTGCGTGAGGCCAGCACCAAGAGCCTAGTTGATAAGGTACATCCACCAGTGACGTGGATCCTCCGAACATTAACAAATACAATAAAACATGTATTACCAACACGTAATGTAAATTATTAAATAAGTTGTATGAATTATTAGATAATTTGTATAAATTATTAAATAAGTTGTATAAATTATTAGATAATTTGTATAAATTATTAGATAAGTTTGTATAAATTATTAGATAATTTGTATAAATTATTAGATAATTTGTATAAATTATTAGATAATTTGTATAAATTATTAGATAATTTGTATAAATTATAGATAATTTGTATTATTAGATAATTTGTATAAATTATTAGATAAGTTATATAAATTCGTAGAGGAAGATTGAGACACTTATGCAACATATGGGAATCTTTATTGAGGAAACGTTTCGCCACACAGTGGCTTCATCAGTCCAATACAAAGTAGAAATGGGTAAGGAGAAGAGGAGTTTGAGGTAATCAGTCCCTCAGCCTGGCTGAGGGACTGATTACCTTTGTTGATTATCTTTGTTGTGGAGATGTTTCGCCCAGCGGTGACTTTATCAGTGCAATACTGGAGAAGCAGAAGCCAGGTGTAGCAGATGTGTAGAACTCTCCACAATTATTCTCTGCATTAGACTGATAAAACAGCTGTGGTGGAAACGTCTTTACCCAGGTGTTGTACAGGTGTTTTATTTCTCTACTTATCGCTTTTGTAAAATATTAATATATACTATTGGTCTGATACAATGACTTCTTGGTGAAGTGATTTCTTCTACCGGTGGCCCCCACCCACCTGTGATGCCGCCCCCAGCTGCTACACCTCACCTATTTCCAGCATACAAAGCTCCGTCCTAGGTCATCTACCTTCAGGTTCCTCTAGACTGATGATGTACCGAACACCTCCGTCCACACTGTCAGAATGACGACTATCTCACACTACTGCTACAACTATTACTACGACAACAATTGCTACTACCACTACTACGACAACAACAACAACTACTACTACTACTACCACTATAACTACAAATTTTTGGATAATTGAGGTAAAATGTGTTCATTTATGCTATGGATTTTTTCTGGCAATGTTAGGTTAAGTTTGGTTAAATTTAATGTATTATTATTATTATTATTATTATTATTATTATTATTATTATTATTATTATTATTTATTATTATTAGTTTTATTTATTATTATTATTATTAGTTTATTATTATTATTATTATTATTATTATTATTAATTAGTTTATTATTATTATTATTATTATTATTATTAGTTTATTATTATTATTATTATTATTATTATTATTATTATTATTATTATTATTATTATTATTGTTGTTGTTGTTGTTGTTGTTGCTGTTGCTGTTATTATTATTATTATTATTATTATTATTATTATTATTATTATTATTATTATTATTAGTTGATTATTATTATTTTCACTATTATTATTGTTGTTAATGATGAGAGGAAGTGAGAGGTGTTGTGTTGTCACAAGACAGCTGACAGCTTCAACTTCCGGTATAGAGACAATATGTAAGGCGCCTCTCAACTAAATACTAATAGTCAGCTTTCTCAATTTCAATTGTTGGCGTAAAGAGCTAAACCCGTGTTTACCTGGAGTTTACCTGGAGAAAGTTCCGGGGGTCAACGCCCCCGCGGGCCCGGTCTGAGACCAGGCCTCCTGGTGGATCAGAGCCTGATCAACCAGGCTGTTGCTGCTGGCTGCACGCAAACCAACATACGAGCCACAGCCCGGCTGATCCGGAACTAACTTTAGGTGCTTGTCCAGTGCCACCTTGAAGACTGCCAGGGGTCTGTTGGTAATCCCCCTTATGTGTGCTGGGAGGCAGTTGAACAGTCTCGGGCCCCTGACACATATTGTATGGTCTCTTAACGTGCTAGTGACACCCTGCTTTTCATTGGGGGGATGGTGCATCGTCTGCCAAGTCTTTTGCTTTCGTAATGAGTGATTTTCGTGTGCAAGTTCGGTACTAGTCCCTCTAGAATTTTCCAGGTGTATATAATCATGTATCTCTCCCTCCTGCGTTCCAGGGAATACAGGTTTAGGAACCTCAAGCGCTCCCAATAATTGAGGTGTTTTATCTCCGTTATGCGCGCCGTGAAAGTTCTCTGTACATTTTCTAGGTCGGCAATTTCACCTGCCTTGAAAGGTGCTGTTAGTGTGCAGCAATATTCAGCCTAGATAGAACAAGTGACCTGAAGAGTGTCATCATGGGCTCGGCCTCCCTAGTTTTGAAGGTTCTCATTATCCATCCTGTCATTTTTCTAGCAGATGCGATTGATACAATGTTATGGTCCTTGAAGGTGAGATCCTCCGACATGATCACTCCCAGGTCTTTGACGTTGGTGTTTCGCTCTATTTTGTGGCAAGAATTTGTTTTGTACTCTGATGAAGATTTAATTTCCTCATGTTTACCATATCTGAGTAATTGAAATTTCTCATCGTTGAACTTCATATTGTTTTCTGCAGCCCACTGAAATATTTGGTTGATGTCTGCTGGACCATTCAACGTCAAGGAAGGCAGGAGGTTAGACCCTCCGTCCGCGGAACACTGTGGCTGCGAGTAACTGTGGCTAGTGTCTCTGTGTGTATATACAGACTGTATATATACTCAGTGTATATATCCCATATATACCATGTATAGCTTTAGGATGTTTCGGGGTCAACGCCCCCGCGGCCCGGTCCGTGACCAGGCCTCTTACATGTGCTGGTACCTGCTATAGCTCAGCTGGGATGCGCTGACTA